GTTAGCCTGGCGCTGTGCTAAGCATCATCTCATTTAATCATTACAACTAATCCTGTCATTATCCACATATACAGTTGAGGAAAATGAGGCTCAGAGAGGTTAAGTCATTTGCCCAAAATCACAGAGTGGCAGAGCTGAAATTTGAACCCACACCCCGTGAGGAGGAGCCTGTGGGGGAACCCTGGCTGGGGGTAGGCAGGAGCATGAGGCGGAACCTCAGCCACCCAGAACCCCAGCCCTCCGCCAGGCTCCCACTGCACTCTTCCAGCCCTAGTCCCAGCTTTCCCTGCCAAGGTGCTGGGGATAATGAATGAGATGCTCTGGTTGTCATGGAGACGCCATGGCAATGCTGCACTTTCGGGAAATACCACGGTAACCGTGGCCATTGCTCTGGAGTTGAAAGTCACTCCCTATTCCACCTCCCCACCCGAAAATGCTCTGGTTCCCCACAATCCTCCCCAGGACCCACAAGAAAAAGGGGGCTGAAGTGCAAGGACCCTCTTACAGAGCAAGCTGTCCAGAGACTGAGGCCAGGAAAGGGGTCTAGGTTGGGCCCCGGATGAATGGGTGGGCTCCAGGAATGAGAATAAGAGTTGCCTGGGAGCAGAGACTACGCCAGCTGTGCCCAATAACCCAACTCACACGTACTTGGCGCCTACTGTGTGCCAGCAGACATCCTGGGAAGGGCTGTGTGCATCACGCTAGCTCACCCTAGCGTTGGCAGCTAGCATCACAGTTAAGGGCTCAACTGGAGCCAGCCTGCCTGGGCTTGAATCTTGGCTCCATAATTTACTAGCGCTATGCATGACCTTTGAGCAAATCTGTCAACCTCTCTGAGCCTCAGTTTGCCTAACTGTAAAATAGGGTTTACACTACTGAACTATCTCACAGGCCTGCTGCCAAGACAAAGAGAGATGATGTGTATAAAACAATGAGCTCAGTGCCTGGCTAATAAAATGATTATCCATTAACAGATTTGGAAACTGAGGCTCAGGAAGGAACTGGTCCAAACCACATATCAAATTAATAGTGGGTGGACAAAGAGAGAAGGAGGGAGGTCAGGCTGAAGCCAGCAGGGAAGACAAGAGAATGGGCTCCAGGAAGAAGTGAAATGTTTGAGATCACACTGGGAGTTGGGAACAAGCAAATGATCCACTCCCTGTTCCTTATTCTGCATTTATTGAGCACCACTAGGTACCAAGCACAGAAGTGGGCACTGAAAATGCAGTGGCCACCAAGACCTTCCCACAGTGGTTTCTAGAGGCCTTGGGGCTCCAGGGTTTTAGGTCTCTGGAGTGATGCTGCTGCGGGGTGGATGGGCAAGGTGCCCACAGCCCCAAATGCTCACCCAGCTCTCACATTTTATTTCCAGCCTGCATCCTTGCTGCCCATGCCCCTGCAGGCCACCCTCCTCCCATACCACACCACTCACACGCAAATGAATCCACAGGAAAACTCGCAGGGTAGTGACATGCTTAAATGGTGTTGTCACAGGCATTGGGACAACATGCACAGGGGCAAGGGGCAGGGGGTGGCCGAGAGGAGGCCAGCACAGGAAGAGCCCTGCAAGCAGGCCCAGAAGCATGTGAATGGCACCCGGGCTCTGGCAGGGACTCTGGGCGGGGACTCGAGCAGGAGAGGAGGCAGTGGCGGCTGCAGGCCCAGGCACTGGTGGCCACATATACACCCAGGGCCACTCCCCACAGCTGGCCCAACCCCTTCCAGCCCGTCACACCCCCAGCACAGTCACACCACCCGCCCATCCAGGCACACCCACAGCTGCCCCGCTCCGCAGCCACCCTGCCACGGCCTGGCCTGCCCCACCCACCAGGTCCAGCGCAGCAAGGAAAATCCTCCACATTTGCTTCCCAGCTGTGCGGGAGTTTCTCCAGCCCAATTACACCCCAGGGAGGCCAGACCAGAAGCAAATCCCTTCCTCTGCTGGAATTCGCTGCACGCCCCTCCCCCACCACCCCTGCAGTGCCGCCTGGCTGGGTGCCAGGCTGCCGCCTGCCTGTCAGTCACCCCACCCCAAGTCCAGGGCCGCCACCCCAAGGGAGGGGCTGTCGGAAGTCTGGCTCAGAGTCGCAGGGCCACAGACAGCACAGTCCACCTTACAGTAAGCACATGGGGACGGGGGCCCAGAGAGGGGGAAGGCCTCCCTGCCCTTGCACTGGCCAGGCCGGCCCCACTCCCACCTCCTGCGGCCCATTTTCCTGTCCGTTAAAACCCTGCCGCTCCTCCTGCAAGGCCAGCCTCAGCAGGGAGCTGGGCTCCGCTGGCCATGGATTTCAGAAGTCCCGGTCAGCTCTCCTGCTCTGCATCCCACCGTCCAGTGCCAGCTGTCAGCCGCTCTCACGACGACAACGACCAGAATGCCGGTCTCCAGCTTCACCGAAGGTCTTCCCAGGCACAAGCGGTCTCCTACCCACAGTAGGTGCTCCAAAGCGACATGCTTTTGCCAAGTTCATTCCCCTCTGTGAATCTGCTACCAGGCAGCTCCAAGCTAAATGCATTACTAATGTTAACTTCCACTTACCAGACACACTCTGTCTGTATTGCATGCTACTATTTCGCCCTTACCACAGCACCACGACCTGTATTCCCATTTCACAGATGAGGAACTGAGGCCCAGGGAGGGCCGGTGACTTGCCACATCCCACAGAGCTAATGAAGGGGTGAATGGCAATTTCAGCACAAACCCGGAGCCTGGGTGTCCGTCCCTCAGTCCCACAGGCCGACTGTGCTCACCTGGGACAGCTGACGCTGGCCGGGTGCCCCGCACATCCCATTCTCTGCTCCCTTCGAATAGTTCTCTCTGTTTTTGTTTTCGTCCACGTTATGTGTGTTTTAACATCCCAAGCAGCCTCTAATAGATCCTTCTTGGAAGCAGCCCCACAGATCACCCATCCATCGGCAAGCAGAGTATAAAGCGCTGGTTCACTCCCTGGTTCTCAACCGGGGCGCTGGTGCTGGGCTCCCTGGCAGGGAAGGCCCAGCAGAAAGCCTCGGGAACTTAGACCTCGCTTGTTGAGAATTTGTCTTTCTTCCAACAGGGCTTGGGTTGAGAGTTTACCTTTGTACCAGCTCTGAAGAAAAGGTTTACCCAGCAAACAAACCAGACAGCCTGAGGGGGAGGGGGCCGTGTGGGGACAGGGCAGGCCAAGAGCAGCCGCCCTCCAGGCCCAAGGACAAGCTCCCCCCGGCCCACCGAGCTCCTCACGCAGACCGGGGCTGTCAGGACCACAGCAGGGAATGCCACTCAGTGGCCCATGCAAGCCTCCCGAGAGAGGGCTTCCCTTTCCCCCCAAATGCCAAATCTGCCCACAACAGAGTCACATCTATACCAAACTATTTTTCTTAGGCTCAGATCAAAATCGAAAGGAAGAAAACATTTCCCTACAAATGCCATAACCTCCCTCGCCGACACCAGCCAACACTGACTGAGCTCCTGCTAGCCCACGGGGCTATGCTAGGAGCTCCCCCACCCTCAACTCTCCCACCCTGAGAGGTGGTGTCGCTGGCATGTGCACTGGACAGACAAGGAAATGGAAGTTCAGAGAGGGCAAGTAACTGACTCAAAGTCACACAGCTGGGCAGAACTGGTGTTAGGACACCCCTTCCAGCCCACCTCGGAGCCCCTGTTCATAACTCTTATACGGTCCTGCTGCCCGGCATCCCACACCCAGGAGAGAGGCTTCTTGCAAGTGACCAGCCCTGGGACTGCTGGGCCAGCTTCTCAAGCAATGGCAAGTTTCAGCCTCCTGGGAAAGCCTGCCCCAACAGAGTGGGACACCAGGGACACCCAAAAAGGCAGTTCCTCAGCCAGAGAGACCCCCACAACAAACCCCATATAAGAAAGGGGTCTGCCCCCTGCCCCAGGGAGAAGTCTCAGCTAAGGAAGAAGGAGGAGGCAGGAGTGAGGGCCAGAAGCAGAAGACCTCAGCCAGCAGGCACAGCACACAGGACAATGGTGACCAGCATGCCTCGTGGGCTGGGTGCGTGCCAGGTGCGACCCCAAGCTCTCCCCAGTCCTTACTCAGTGTATTTGTCATTTATTCCTAATGAAGTAAAAACAACTGTATCACACCCTGAGCTTCTCCCCTGTCTGTGTCCCTGCTGACCAGCTGGGAAGCGCCGGTCACCACAAGCCCTGCCCCCCCCCCCCGCACGGCCAACCCCAGTCCGCAGACGCCCCAGCGAGACCCCAAGGAGCAGGCAGACTCAGGGGCCCCCACCTCATGGATGCAGGAGCCAAACCCCACGTGAGCCTGGAATCCACATCGGCCTCCCAGCCCCTCCCCAGGCTCTGAACACTCAGGGGACGAGAGGGAAGTGTCCCCTCTGAGTCAAGCCCCATCACTCCCTGTGTGCAAGCCCCTGCCCTCTCTGTTTCCTCACCTGCAAGACGACGGGCGGGACTAGAGCAGGAGCGTGTGACCCTCTGGGGGTCACAGAAACCTCTGAGAATGTGATGACTGTTAGTGGACTCATGCCCCAGACACACAGATTCAGTGTGGCTGGGATCAGCCGCCGCCACCAAAAACCAAGTTAAGAGTGTGGAAACTTTCTTTGGCAGGCCACAGCTCTCAGGGTCCATAGCATCTGGGTGCCCTGGGACCTCCCATTCCAGCATCCCCTGTGGGATTGTGAAGTCAATCTTTAACTCCCAGACCTGTTGGCTTCAGGTGGCTTTGTAGACTTGCCCTGCTGTTGGAGAAGCCGCAAGAGAAACGGAGCCCTTGCTCCCCGTCCCGCAGCCCCTCCTCCTCCTCCTCCTCCTCCACCAAGAACCGGCCAGGTCAGCAGCGGCCCCCCTCGTGGGGCAGCCAGGGGCCGGGACACTGGAGGAGCCTGCCCGTGACCCTGGGCACAGACAGGACCCAGCGCCCCGGTAGGCATGTGCACGCACACACACACCACGCGCACACACACTCAGACCAGGGCACCAGGGACAGTGGTCAGAGGGCCGGGAGCTGGGGAGAGAAGGCCAGACCTACCGGAGCTCGGGCGCCGGCTGCGTGGCTCCGCTCCCCTTCACTGCGTCCTCTCGGTGGCTGCACCTAATCCCAGAGCCAGGACAAATGGCATTACTGTCGGCCCAGTCCCCTCCCCAGGAGGGAGGGAAGAAAGGAGGGAGGGAGGGAGGGAGGTAGCCCCAGGGCACCCTGAGCCACCAACCAGGTTCCCAGAAGCCTCCAGCCTCCCCCATCGCCACCTCCCTTGTCAGGGCGGCCAGCCCCTGTGGCCCACCTCCTTCATCTCAGAAAGATGTGCCCCCCCCCAGTTTTGCCCCACGCCCAAGGGTCCCCATAGCAGGCAAGGGCCCTGCATTGAGAGGCCGTCCCTGGAAGAGGAGAAGCATGTCCCTGACCCCATGCCAAGGGGTGCCCTGGTCCCTCTCAGGACAAGCGGGAGCCAGAATGGAGGAGCCCTTGCGGGCAATAATAAGGGTAACTGGGCTCTGGTTCCAGCCCTGCCTAACTTCCTATGCAACCTCACGGAAGGCCCTGCCTGCTCCTGACTTCAGTTTCCCCACCTGTCCTGGGGAAAAGAGTCGTCCTGATGCGCCCAGCTGATAGGATGCTGGCTTCTGGCCCCGCCCCCAGCCCAGCCCAGCTACCAGGCCCTTCCCATTGCCCCACCCTGCAGAGGAGGAAGAAGAGTGACGGACAAAGGTGTGGCGGGTGTTAGGATCCGTGCCAGAGTGTCAACATGCTAGAGTTGAACAGGGCCTCGAAAAGCCCAGGCCCAGACAGGAGAAGCGGCCTGGCCGCGGTGGCACGGCAAGCTGGCAGAGGGCCAGGCCAGCTGGGTTTGAGTCTTGACGTCTGTCTGTGTTCACTTAAAAGTGTCCACCTGAAAAGGCACTTGCCTTCTTAGCGGACGCCAGGGAAGCACAAGGCAATTTGCTAATGGTAGAATTTCAGGGCCCAAGAGCTGCAGTAGGGAAAAAATAGAAAGAAGAGTGGTGTGTTTATGTGTGGGGTGTTGACGGATGGAGACCGGTCTGGCTGTCCAGGCACCTTGTGTCACCCCATAGGGGTGGCCAAGGGTCTCACCAGCCCCAGGGAAACCCTAGGAGCCCCTTCCAGGGATCAGCAGCCTTGGCCACCTCTTGAGAAGTGACCCGAGGCCCCGCAGTGGTGACAGGGAGACTTGCCCAGGTGGACACCCCAAGACCAGCGCACGCCGGAAGATACCAAAGCCCCGGGAAAACCGAAAAGCCTTCAGGCGGTGGCCAGAGAGGAGGCAGTCGGGCGGGCTGGGGATGACACAGAGGAAGGGAAAAGCTTTGAGGGCCTTGGAGCCGCAGAAGCCCCCTAATCTCCCCGAGGCCTGGCGGGCAGGACAAGGGGCCTGCTGAGACCAAGGGGCTTCACCGAGGCCCACATGAAAGCAGCCTGTTCCCTGCAGACTCGCTGGGGCTTGTCGCTAGGACGAGAGCCTGCTGCCAACACACCTCGGGCGTGAGGGGCTCCACGCACTGACACGGAGGCGCAGCTGGCGGACGGAGGGGCGGGAGCCGGGGTAGGTGTGCAGGGGGCCTGGATTTCTCCAGAACACAGACAGCTAGAGAGCAGGCACACAGCAAAAAGCGCCCGGTGACCGACTTCACCCAGCCTCCTTTTAAAGGGCCCCACAGGCCTCGGTGAGACTCTAGAAGGTGCCTCACAGGGGTCCCGAACGGTTCATAGGGTCAGAAGACCTAGGTGAAGTTCAAGTCTCAGATGAAACACTAACCCAGGTCTGCGCTCAGGCGCCTCCTGATTCTCTGCACCTAGATGCCCACAGGCACCTATGCCCCTATTCCCAGCCTCGCACCAGCTGCCTGAGACCGCAGGCAAGCACCACCCCTTTCTGGGCCTTGCTCTGTTCACATAAAATGGAACCACAATACTGGGCTTGGTGGCCCGCACCTGTAATCCCAGCTCCTCGGGAGCCTGAGGCTGGAGGGCTGCTTGAGCCCGGGAGTTCAAGTCCAGCCTGGGCAACATAGCAAGACTCCATCCCTAAAAAAGGAAATTTTGGCTGGGCATAGTGGCTCACACCTATAATCCTAGCACTCTGTGAGGCCCAGGCAGGAGGATTGCTTGAGGTCAGGAGTTCAAGATCAGCCTGAGAAGGAGAAAGATCCCATCTCTACTAAAAATAGAAAAATTAGCCAGGCATGGTGGCACACGCCTGTAGTCCCAGTTACTCTGGAGGCTGAGGCAGGAGGATCACTTGAGCCCAGGAGTCTGAGTTTGCTGTGAGCTAGGTTGATGCCACAGCACTCTAGCCCAGGCAACAGACTGAGACTCTCAAAACAATAACAACAACAACAAAAAAATAGTGATCTCAAAAATAAACAAATATTTAAAAATTTAAACAAGTAAAATTTATTTTAACTTTTTTTTTTTTTAGAGACAGGATCTTGCTCTGTCACCCAAACTGAAGTGCACTGGAGCATTCAAAGCTCACTGCAGCCTGAACTCCTGGTGATCCTCCTGCCTCAGCCTCCCAAAGTGCTGGGATTATAGATGTGAGCCACAGCACCTTTTACTTTTGGCCGGGTGCCATGGTTCACACCTAGTATTCCCAGCACTTTGAGAGGCCAAGGCGAGAGGATCACTTTAGGTGAGGTGACAGGATCACTTGAGGTCAGGAGTTCAAAACCAGCCTGGGTGACATAGCAAGACTCTGTCTCTACAAAAAAAGTAAGAAAAAAATTAGCCGGGCCTGGTGGCCTGTACCTGTAGTCCCAGCTACTCAGGAGGCTGAGATGGGAGGATCGATTGAACCTAGGAGTCTGAGGCTGCAGTGAGCTATGATCATGCCACTGCACTCCAGACTGGACAACAGAGACCCCATCTCAAAAAAATAAATAGAATAGAAAATTAATTAATTTAAAAAATGGAATTGTGCCAGATGATCCCATGGACCCTCCTAACTCTAAACTGGGTGATTCTGCGGGGAGCGTACCTGACCTCTGCAGCAACCCCCAGCAACAGGTACGACAGTCCCAGCTCCCTGCTGTGGATAAGCCCATCTGTCCCCGTGTTCCACGCCGAATGCACATTATACGACTACCCTATACCAGCATGTGCTGGGCCCTTTGCTAAATGCTTGCCCTCCCCTTCCTCGGGGCCTCATTTCACAAACGTGGAAACTGAGGTTCACAGAGGCTGGGCAACCTGCTCAGGCTCGCAGTTGGGAGGTGCTTAGCTGAGATTCGAACCAGCATCCTTCTGGCTCTTAATCCCCACATTCCCTGGCATCAGTCACAGATAGCCCAAAACCTACCGGGGCCAGGAAAATGCCATCAGCTCTTTGCACCTCCCACATGTCCCAGCATACAATGCCGAGGCTAGTGTGCAGGCAGGCTGGTGGCCAGGCGGGGACGGGGACATCCGCGGGGGCACTGAGCATTCCGCAGACTCACCGGCCTCCAGCCCGGCCCTCTGTCCGCAGCTGTGGCTATGACGCGCTCACTGCCAGCAGCACACCACAACCACCGCTGGGTCATTTCTAAATCGTTGCACAGATGTGAACGAAGCTTTTTCACAGGCGTTGCTTTGGTGTCACATGCCAATTTATAAAAGTGTAGTGGGGATTTCTTCCTCCTTTCTCAGAAGAGGAAGGTGGGCTTCCCGGAAGACAAGCGACTTCCCAAGAAGCACACAAGGAGGCACTGTCTGAGATGAACTTGGGGCCCACATCCTCTGCCTCCCTGCCCAGGGCTGCGCCTGCCCCTCCGTGCTCTTGACTTTCCAGGTCAACCAGCACTGGCTGGGCCTTTGGGACAACAATGACCATTTTTGGTCATTTTTGGTCATTTTGAGAGTTTACTCAGTGCCAGGTATTGTACTCGGCACTTCACGTATTATCTCATTTAACCATCTCGACATCCCCGTAAATTCAGCACCGCACCTGTTTTCATTGCACAGACCAGAGACACGGAGGCTCAGCGATGTCAGGTATCATGTCCAGGGTCACCGCGCCAGAAGGGGCAGAGCTGGCATTCAAACCAAGCTCGGTGTGCCCCAGAGCCTGGGGCCTAAACCCCTGCGCTGTGCAGCTCTGTCTGGGAGACTGTCCCAGGCAGTTCCTGGAGGGGACAGGAGGCAGACACACCAAACAGCGTGTGTGCCTGGCAGGTTATGGCATGATTACGATAATGGAAGGACAAACAAAACTCTAAGGGAGCCCACAAGAGGGAAGCTGTTACAAACGTCCGGGCAGAAGGCCAGGAGTCTGAGCAAGGGACCTGGGAACAGAGGGAGGTGACAGATATGAGGGAGGCGGCCTTGTGAGACCTTGGTCAAGTATCTTGCTCTCTCTGGACCTCAATTTACCCGGCTGTTAAGAAAAGTCCCTGGAATATCTCCAAAACCCACTCCATCCCTAAAGACTCTAGGTCCCTGGGAAAACAGGCAATGCCTGGAGACGGCCTGGCTGTGAGCCCCGGGGACTCTGAAATGTCCTTGGCCGTCCTGGCACAGCTCGACTGCTTGGAAACAGGCTTGGAGAAGCAGAGGGCTTGGCTGGCATGCCTGGGCACCAGTGAAGTGTGGGTCCTGAGAGGGCCACATTCCGCCCATTGTCAACCTCTCCATGGCTCCACTGGAGCAAGCACCACCCGGCCTGGACCCAGCCCAGGAACCGGGGTCACGCCAAGTGCCCAGGGGAATGCCACTCCAGGCCCTGCCCTGCCCCGCCCCGCCAGCCCTGTCCAGAACCCTGCATGCAACTTCGGTCCACTCAGTTCACCCACCCCCCTCCCAAGCCCTCACTCCCAATTCCCTGAAGGCCGGCCACTGGGACGCAGAGACAAGGAGTCCTATAGGAGACCTTAAGGACAATGACCACCCCCAGTCCCGAGGGCCCTGTGCAAGACAGAGGCTGCCCGTGCCAGGGCAGTGAGGACCTCGGCTGGGGCAGGGGACAGAGTCCATTTCAGCAGCCCTTAGCTCTCCTCTGCAAGGCAGAGGGTACAGGGACTTACTGAAAGCACTCAGCCCAAGTCCCCACACTCACAGCTGCCCCAGCGAACCACACGCCTGTTCACTAACCTGCCACC